TTTCTTTCTTCCTTCCTTCCTTCCTTCCTTCCTTCCTTCCTTCCTTCCTTCCTTCCTTCCTTCCTTCCTTCCTTCCTTCCTTCCTTTTCTTACTTCCATCCATCTGGGTCCTTCTCTTTCTACCTGTCATCTCCTCTCAGTTTTTCCTTTGGCACATACAATTTATGTTCATTTTTCTCCCTGAAAACACAGGCAGGCAGACCAATATATTAATTTATAGGCATGTCTCTCTAAAGGGAAGAGGTGATCAGCAAATGAAATAAAGTTGCTTCAATTTCAGCTTCAGTTCAGTCTAAATAGATGCAAATTTTAATTTTTCTGAATGAAGAAAAAAACCCCACATACTCTTTGTTACTCTACTCATGGTTGCCTTGAAAATCCTACTGTGAGCTTTTTCTATCATATGCTGCCTGTATGAGCTACTATCCGCCTCCCCCCACCAGAGTATAGGTAACTCAGGGTTTAACACACACACACACACACACACACACACACCAAAATGTGAAGGATGAAGGAAGGAGAATTTTAGAAAATGCCAAGGAAAAAAAAATCTCATTTTTTTTGCCTTCAGAGGATTTTTTTTAAAGAATTGGTTAAGATTGGCTGAGAGTGCTGCAAAATGTAGACCAAAACTGAATTTTGCTTTGCAAAACTGAATTCTAATATTTATATAATACATTTTATTTCCTCCTATTTTCCCAAATGGCAAAAACTAAGAAGAGGATACAAAAAAAATCTAATAATAAAAAAAGTTTGCATCTTTCCTTCTATTTGGATATTATTAAAAAAAAACTTATTTTGCTATCCTAGGTAGATGTAACTTGTGCCTAAACTCCACTAACAGATTGGATCTCTTGAGTAAACACACTTAGAGTTGCTGTTTTAATTTAATCAACATGTTATATAGTAAACTCTTATATGACTTTATAAAGTATAAATGATGTGCTGTATTTCATGTTTATTTAAACTTGTAAATAAACTTTTATTTAACAATGGAATAAATACATGTGTGCCAGTCTTCTCTATATTTTTTTGCTGGGAGAGGAAGATTTGACCCAAATATTCTAAATGTATTTATTTGTCTATTTATTAATTAAATTTATATGCTGCTCATCTCACTTTATGGCTTAAAATTTCCTTAATTTAATTAATTAGTTACTAATTAATAAACTGAATTCCAGTTCTTCCACCATTATATAAGCCCCTGTTCCTACACCTTTCTTAGATAGGACAGACAAGAAAAGTCAGGATTTTAATTTCTGCTTTTTTTTTTTAACCTGCAGGTTGAAATGTTGAAATTCTCTGCCATGCCAATGGTACTGCTGTACTACTTGACTCTCTGGGGTAAGTGTTGATACAGGAGCTGTCATTGGTCTGGGCTAAATCCTATAGAACAGGGGTCTCCAAACTTGGCAACTTTAAGACTTGTGGACTTCAACTCCCAGAATTCTCCAGCCAGTATAGCTAGTTGGAGAATTCTGGGAGTTGAAGTCCACAAGTCTTAAAGTTGCCAAGTTTGGGGACCCCTGTCCTATAGGCATATATTTTGTGAATGAGCAGTCTTGACATCCGCTGGCTGGTTATGACATAGGTCAGGAGTCTCCAAACCCAGCAGCTTTAAGACTTATGGACTTCAACTCCCAGAATTCTTCACCCAGAATTCTGAGAATTGAATTTCACAAGTTTTAAAGTTGCCAAGTTTGGAAATGCCTGCTGTGTAGGTGGATGCAATTAGTTGGCCACACATTAAGCTTGTGACTGGGTAAGCTTGTAAATTTCTCCTAGCTTTGGGGCATACTTGTTGCTTGCCCATAACGGATCCATTTGGAGCAGTTTTTTCTTTTTCCATTTTTTTCTGGGCCAGCAACAGAGACAGGCTGGGAAGCTTGAAGCTGCCATCTTATTTTTTTTTGCAGGATTACTGAATTACTGGTCTCTGACAGTTTTTCTTTTGCAATCCAAAATGCTGGTTATCACCTTTAAACAGTGGTGGGATTCAATTTTTTTCTACTATCGGTTCTGTGGGCGTAGCTTGGTGGGCATGGCAGGGGAAGGATACTGTAAAATCTCCAGTCAGAGGTGGTATTTGCCGGTTCTCTGAACTACTCAAAATTTCCACTACTGGTTCTCCAGAACTGGTCAGAACCTGCTGAATACCACCTCTGCCTTTAAAGCTCTATGTGGCTTTGGGGCCAGGTTATCTGAAAGGTAACAGGTTCCCTATTATATCCACCTGACCTACCAGGATGGGAGGGCAGGGTATGATATAGGTCCCATGGATTAGGGATTCTTATCTAGTGAGGCCATGAAAAAGGTAGTGGCCCCTTTCTCGATGGAATATCATCCCTCCCTCCCCAAAAAGATATGGTTGATTCCACCCTTTCGCTTTTCCGAAAGGCCCTAATAACATGATTTTCTCAGTCGGTCTGGGGACCACGAATGGAGATGGAGCCGATCAAGTGGCTCATCTGATTATGTTATTGTTGCTATGGGGCGGGGGTTGGGGTTTTATTATCCATTGCATTTTTAAATGTTGTAAGCCGCCAATGTTGTAAGCCGCCCAGAGTCACCTCTGTGTGTGAATTGAGTGGCTATTTAAATTTGTCAAATAAAGGAAGAAAGGAAGGGAGGGGGGAGGGAGGGAGGGGAGGAAGGAAGGCAGATAGGTAGGCATGGGTCTAGTTCTACTTTCTGTAAAGTACATCTTTGGATACAGTAAAAATTTCATTCATAAATGTAGTATACTCAGAATCATTGTTATAAATTGGAAGAACACACTCTACAATGTCAAGTTCCACTCAATTATGGGCCACTGATTAGTTCTAAAATATTTCATTTGCATGCAGAAGGCTCTAAATCCTGTCTAACTAATTTATCTAAATTTCGGAAAGAGTCACTATCAGTCAAAATAGATATGAAAAACTAATTTAGCTGATTGCGGCTCAACTCTTCCTCGTGTCATAATGAATTTCAGATTTGGCTTAGGATGGATAGCCCCAGGCATTGAGATCTAGGAGCGAAAATTTTGGACTGATACAAAGCTTTGGTGGAACCATCTTCAAATGCATATATCTGATTGATACATTTAAGTGATTATTCATATGATTTTTGCATCATGGGTTATGTACTGGGTTAAGAATTTGGTGCTATGCTTCAGGTGCCAGGTTAGAAACCAGCAGATAGCGATTTCTAGTCCTGCTTAAACACAAAGCTAGCTGGGGGACTTAGTCACTCTCTTCTAGGAAGGAGGGGGCAAATGCAAACTTCCAAAATCTGACTTGAAGGCAAAAAATAATAATAATCAAAAACCCAACTTTATTATTGTAGTTCATATAAAAATATGTATGCATGCTTGTGCAGTTGTAAAAACAGATGTACACACATATACCTAAGCCAGAGCGATAAAGGTAGCTTAAGTAGAGGGTTTTATTTTGTGCATCCTACTCTAGAAATCTCAGCAGAACAAAATCCCAAAGCTTAAAGCAGGAAGGGTTAAAAAAAATTAAAAGACCTGTATGAAAAGATATACTCTTGATTATGCTTCCCGGGGATGGCAATATCTTGCTCCACAGAGTTGCTTGCCAAGGTTTCCATGTCGCCCATAGGACAAAGCGTTTTCTGTCTGATTGTAACTCATATATCTCTGTCAGTTTCCAACACATTTCAGTCAGGCCATGCATGTAACGACACGCCTTGATCATCCTGTGCACCACTCAAGCCCTGGAGGCCCATTACTAGTCCAACTAGGTCACAGCAAGCATTGGTAGGAGTATAGTCAGGCTCTGAGAGCAGCTGGCACTGTGCCACATCTATTTACAGCTGCACAGGTAACTTCAAATGCTGACAGTAGATTCTGGTGGGTCGGTCCTAAAATTTAGCAATAGCACTTAAGACTTATATACCGCTTCATAGCGCTTTACAGTCCTCTCTGCGTAGTTTACGAATGTCAGCATATTGCCCCCAGCAATCTAGTTCTTCATTTTACCAACCTCAGAAGGATGGAAGACTGAGTCAACCTTGAACCGGTCAGGATCAAACTCTTGGCAGTGGGCAGAGTTAGCCTGCAATACTGTATTCTAACCACTGCGCCACCAGGGCTCAGAGGAGAACGGGCCAAGATCTGCCTAAAAACTCTACCCATCATCCTTGTAATGTGTCCAATATACTCTGCATATTGTTGGAACCACCTTCTTCTTCTTCTTCTTCTTTTTTAAAAGTTGCCTAGGGTTTAAGGCAGGATCTTGAGAACACTGATAATTCTCAAATATATATCGATGTACAATGCTTCTTGATCATTTAATGATTCCTACATCTCATATTCCAATGCTTTTTTGAGAAAGTATGATGGGACACTCTGTAACTGCATCCGTCTTTCCCTGAGAGAAATATCACAAATTGCTTTCAACAATGATGCTTAACCTTCGGGTAGATAAAGTAAAATAACAAGGGAGCAATTGAATATGTAAAAAGTCTCCCCTCTGAATAATTGCAAGCCATCAAATATATCTAGAACGACAATGTTTTTTTTTTATTGCCCTTCTGAAATTGACACTGACAGCAATTATTATTAGCTGGATTTTCATCTTCCAGAAGCTCAGGGCATTTTAATTTAATGTCCCATTCTCCATCCACATTCTAGACAGAGAGGACCACTGGTTTGAAAAAGAGGTAAAAGAGTCCATCTGTGTCAAAACTGAATAGCCCTCTTTCAAGAGAGAGGGGGGGAAATGACACCACCTATCTCTTGTTTACAACACAGTCCTTTTAGCGGTTCCAAGAAGGTTCCACACCCATTTGCACTCTGATTCAGGTATCCCGAGGGCACAGATAATCCCCCACGGGGCCTCAGACTCTCAGAAAGCTAATGACCCACTTTCAAAGTGCAAAGAACCAGATGACTGCAAGGAATATAAATCCTTCCATTCCCCCTGCATTCAGCCAGAACTGAGGATGCTTCTTGGATGAGGAGTGAAACATCTTCAAGGAAAAAGCAAAGCAAATCCAATTGCCTTTTGAAAAAGCAGCTTGGGGACATCCATGATTCGGATGATTGAGAATCTCCATAGACATTCACACAACAAGAATTCAGTGAAGTAGGTTGAATGGAGAAATAGTAACTCCTGTAAAGGACCCTAACGGACTTCCATGACTGAGTGCGGATTTAATTGGGGTGTTCCTGATCCTAGCAAAACCCCTTAACATTATATTACACTTTCCCTTTGATGAAGCTTCTCTCCATCTATCTCAAGAAAAGGCTTGGCCATGTTGGAAGAAATATCCTTCTGGGTTCAGTTCCAATTGGGAAGGAAGACATTGAAAACATGGTGCCTGCTTGGACAGATGGTTTACTGGTAGACAGGACCACACGGCTTGGAGATCCTGGGCGAAAAGGGAAGAGATGCTGAGAGTCTCTGCCCTCTCTGGGCTTTGAACTTCCTGGGGCACAGGAAGTGTATCCTGATTGGTTGCTGTCAGAGGTCTTAGCTAGCGTTGTAGGTTGCCTGGGTGCTAAGTTTGCTTGAAACTTGCTGGGTGGTGCCATGAAGGCAGGGGTGGGGATTCTACCGGTTCTGCCTGGTTCTGCCAAAGTGGTACCTCTGAAGTTCAGAGAACTGGTTCTCTCTCACGATCTTTCTCTCCTTCTGTTGGGCCGTCCTTTTCCTACTTTTTCAACCTCAGCTGCTTTGTGCGGCACAGTTGAGGTTGAAAAAGCAGGAAAGGAGAGGATGGTCAAACGTTGCGTACGCACACGCAGTGCTTGTCAACTGTGCGGGTGGCACAGCTGATGATTTGCTTCAAATGCTGCACCTGCACGCGCAGTGCGTGTTTGGCGCACTCACCGAACCAGTTATAACACCGTTTGAGTCCCACCCCTGAAAGAAGGGCAACTAAATGGCTCTGCCTGAAGGAGGTAGATCTTTGTTATGTAGAATAGACTGGCCCAGGCCTTAATGGCCCATTAACAAAGGTGTGGTGGTGGGGGGGTTGAGTTTCTGCCTCTCTGAGTTTCTACTTCTCTTTTAGGGGAAATATTCTGCCTTTTTAGTGTGTATCCCAAAATATTTCACTTCTCTAGGAAGCTTTTAACTTCCAACAGCCGGAGGCAAAAGAAACTTTGCCCCTATTTGAGACCCATGGAAAGACATTTCTTAACAGGTGTGGCTTCCAAGCATTTTGACCTCCTACTTTCTTAGAAATTAACTCTCCTGAATGCCCAGGTGTGGCCCTTTGGAATGCACGAGGTTTGTGCATTCCAATGTGGCTGGGCAGACACATTGTGTGAGTTAATGATTGGCAAAGATTTGGAGGTGGGAGGTTAGCTATTAATAATTAAAAAAAAAAAA